TTGCTGGCCACAGCGAAATTTCAAGCGCCCGCAGAGAGGGCCTGGGTAGAGGATGAGGGCGACGTGGAAGAGGCGGAGGAAGAGAGGCTGTTGGGGAGGGGCCTGAATCCAGGTGGTTCAGAACCGCAGCCAACATCGGTGGGTCCAGAGTTCCACTCGTCGGTACGTAGCGGCGAAACCCTGCACGGAGGAGAGTTATCGTTTTCTTATTCATTGTTCGATCGGCGCGGGCCTTCGCACCCCCCCTCCACCCACCCATAGAGTAGATCTTGGCTGATTTGGGTGACTGCTCCAAGCAGGGGGTGTCACCCCCCTGGGACGCACTGTTGCAAACCGTCGCATTGAGCAGAGATCCAGAGCCAGACCCCCGCCCTTCCCTTTCCTTTCCCCCCCCCCCGCCCAGTGTCGAAACGCCGAAGAAAAAGAACACGTTCACACGGCGTGGACACCAACGCTAGCGGCTCCCAAGCCTGACTCGTCGATGGGTGGCGGCGAAGCCCTGGACGGAGGAAAGGCAGGGGGGCGCCAGCAGCACCAGCCCAGCATCGCTCGGACACGGATCATTGACCATCGGGCCAAGAACCAAATCTTGTTTTCGTCGGCGGTGGGACAAAACCATCGGGCCAAAACAAAAACCGAGGTAGTGCGCTCCAGCGTTTGGCAGTTTGGGGCAGCCGGACGGCGAATTCTCTGGCGTGCCAGAGGGAAGAAACAGGACGAGGGCTGCCGCGCGGGGGGAGGGGGAGGGGAAAGCGCTCAGACGTGGAAAGGTTTCCGAGTGGAGCAGACCGGTGCGGCCAGCCGAGGCAACGGAACCGGGTTACCGTGGCAGCCGAAGCGGGCCAACAGCAGCACGCGCGAAGCCGACAAATGCACAGGGAGCACGGGCGCCCGGGAGCGTGTTCTTTTAGACTCCAGCGAGCTTATTTTGCACGGACGGGGGGGGGGCTCAACCTAGAGCAAGCCGCACACGATCTCCACGTGCGGCGATCACGTAGGTAGAAAGGCATTCGCACGCCAGTTTTCGCTTGCGGAGAGGTGGTGGGGGGTGTAGGGGGGGGAGGGGCGAACGTCACGCAAGTAAATTTGCTGGAGCCTCTTCTTTCTACAAGTCTGTGTGTATATCTATATATATATATATATATATATAGACATACATATTATTTATTTATATCTATACTATGGAAAAAAGGGGCTCCGAGCGAAGGCGAACCAGCAGGAGGCGAGTGGCAACATCCCTGCCAACCTCCCGGCGGCGCGGCGCGCCGCCCCCAGGAACCCGCCCGCCCCCGCGGCCGCGTGAGGGGCGCCCCGCAGGCTCTCCCCGCCGCCGCCCGGCGCGCGCCCGCCTTGTCCCTCGGCCCGAACGGATCGACTAGACGTAAGAGTGACCTTTCGCCGGAGTGACCTTTAGTGCGGGCACTGATGGGCCCCCAGATGGCCGAACGCGAAGCGGTAGCAGCGGCTAGCGCGCCTAGATTGGGCTTCCTCGCGGCCCCCCAAAAGCCGCGCACCAAAGGTCACTCTTACCCAGGGTCACTCTTACGTGTAGCCGAACGGAATGGGTACGGATCGGGAGCCTCGAGACTCGGGTCGGGCGAAAGGGGGGGATTGGGGAAGGGGGGGGTACGAAATTTGCTGCATGCAGCTGGTTCCGGCCTCGCCAAGGGGCCCATTCCTCGATACATAGTCGCCTCCGGCGCCGGGAGGCGCCGGGAAAATCAGCTACGTGAGCTGATTCTCAACCCCCTCCCTTTGCTACCCCCCCCTTTCGCCCGACCCGAGTGACGGGGGTTCAGTGCAAGCGGGGGTCAGCCAGAGCGCCGGATCCTGCAGGATCCTGCAGGGCCAGGGTCGCGTTGACCCGGGTTTGGGCGCAGGATCCTGCAGGATCTTGCTGGATCCTTCGCATTGACCCGGGTTTGGGAGCAGGATCTTGCGGGACCTTCGCTTTGACCCAACAGCAGTTTCTGCTTATTTGAACAGGACTCGCTGTCGACGCCGCTTCGGCGGTGTCCCTTTCAGACAGAAGGCCGCCTGCCCAGCAGCGGCCGCTGTCGGGTAGGGGAAACATTAGCTGTTGGGCACTGTACCCATTTTTGTCCGTTCCTATTTCGGGCGTCCAAAGTCTCCCTTCCTCCATGCAGTCCCCGACGCTCAAGTCGGGCGTGTCCCTCTGCACGAGGAATATTTCGCACATGTTTTGATATTTGTTGTATGTATGCTTCCTCCAGAATCCGTCTGTATGAGGACATGCCCGATCTAACCCGACTCCTTCTCAGATGGGGTCCGAGTAGATGTGGTCGCAGGATCGGGCCGCATGGCCGATGCATCGCCGACGCATCGCCTATGCGGCTCGATGTGGAGCCCGATTTTCTCCACGCCGACGTCGCCGATTCATCGCCCGCGTCGACGATGCATCGCCGATGTAGGGGCGATGCGGCGCGATCCTCCGACCCCATCTACTCGGAACCCATGTAGGAGGCCTCTAAGTCCCCAGCGCCTTCCCCCCCTCACTTCAGGGGAGGAAAAGGAAGCCAGACCTCTACCGCTCGCCCGTTTTCCCCTTTGTGGGCCTCCTGGGTGGCCCTCGTCGCCACCACTGTATTCGCCTCGAAATCCTGGTCAGTACGCACCCTGGGAGAGGTCTGAGGAGTAGCGGTACGGGTACCTTTAATTCCCCCCCTTCCTTGATTCCTCCATTCGAAGAAGAAAAACACAAAGAACATAAACTTTTGGCGCTCCGCGCGGATTTCTTGGATCCGCGCTGAGCCCTCCCGGCGGCGCGCCAAGGAGGGGAGTCCAGCGCAGATCCAAGAAATCCTCGCGGAGCCCCAAAAATTCAAGTTTTTTTTGTGCATGTTCTATCCATGCCTTCCCCGACGCACCCCCCCCAGCACTTCTGCCTCCTCCCTCCATTCGAGTAGGGGATCCACTACAGAACCGATTCACTCCAACCACCCTCCTCCCTCCTCCCTGACATCACACGGCGCGCACCCATCCTCCTTCCCCCCTCCATTCGAGCAGTGGATCCATTACAAAATTGATTCACCCCAAACTTGACCTCCTCGTCGAATATGCAAGACAATGGCGTGGCATATCTCTTGGATTCGATGGAGGGAAACAGTTATGGGGTAGGTTAATTCTGCAGTCAATCCCCTACTCGATCCATGCCTTCCCTGACTGCCTCCTCCCTCACTCTCTTCAGTCTTCCACCCTCATCCTTTCCTCTCTCCATCTCCCCCTCCCTGCCCCATCCCTTCCTCCCTTCCCTCGGGCGAGAGGGGAGGGGGTGTAGGCATCTCCGTCCGCAGCTGTAGTTTCCGGCGTTCACCAGTGGAGCACGGACGAATCTCCCTCCCTCCACGTCCGCTTTTCTGATTTCCTGCCTTGCTGCTGCCTTATCAGTCCATTCCAGCTGCTGCTGCTATATCAGGTCTCGCCCTCTGAGCTACACATACAAGATCCCCTACCCCCTCCCTCCTTCCGTCCCTCGGATCTCCCCCCCTCCTTTCTCGCGCCCAGCACAGCTCATCACCTCGAGCAGCTTCCACCATAGGAGCTGCGTGGGTTCCCGCCTCCAAGATTGCACCGAACATGAGGCTGCCAAAGAGCACAGGAGGGGACCGAAATCCTTCCAACGGTTCCTCGGCCAACGAAGACGGCCGTCTGGAGGGGCGCCACCGCACCTCCACACCTTACCACAGCCGGGACACCTACCATGACGGCGTCGATTACCACCGGCGCGGTGTTTTCCTCCCGCCCCCTCCGATCGATCCTGCTCGATGTCCATTCTGGCCAGCCCGATCCGTTTCGATTCCGATAGTCCGGCGATCCCAGGCGACCCGATGGTTGCATGGTATGTTCGTGCATCTTGGCGCAGCCGATCCGATTCGATCTCGATGCCATGCCGATGCAGCCCGGTCTGGTGCACATGCCGATTCGATCCGATTCACCGATTCGGTGCCGACTGATCCACATCCATTGCATCTTGGAGTTCAGGGCGCTTTGGAGGTGGATGCAAATCTAGCCCCCAGTGAGAGGCTGGACGATTCTCCATATCCACCGCGCCTCGGCCTTGTGACGCCCCTTCCCAGGAAGAGTCCAAGACGCAGCTGCTGTGGAAGCAAACGTCTCGACCTGCCACCTGCCATGACGGCGCCAGCTGCCACCCCCGCGGTGTTCATCCCTGCCCCCGCCCCAGCCCTCCTTCCCGCAGCCGCGACTGCGACCTATGTCTGCCTAAGTGGGGCAGATGGAGCGGGGCTCGTGGCCTACAGTGCTCGGCAAGGCTGAAGGCAGGTGGCTCGAGCGTAGTCCCCTTCTCGTTGCGTCTTCGCCTCGCGGCCCGCCTCATCTCACTCCAAATCCCTCCACGGCTACGATGATGACGACGACGCCTCGCTTGCTCGCTCGCTCTCGCCAGAAGACGGCGACGACGACGACGACGACGACGAAGACGAAGACGGCTCGTTCGCCCGCCAGTGCCGGACGGGGCGAGAACGAGGATAAATCCGTCCCAGAGCGTTCGGGAACGCTCTCAGAGCGTCCCCCGAAACGCTCTGGGAAGGCCGCGACGCCCGAGACATCCCGGGAGCCGCCAGATCTCAGAGATTCCCGATTCCTCGGGTTTGTCCTCGTCTTGGCTTCGTCTTACGAGAGTGGGGGGGCGGCGAGCTCGGCAGTACAGGTGAGGAGGGATCGGCAGCAGAATCGATTCACCCCAAACCCGAATGTGTCCTCGTCCTGGCCTCGTCCTCGTCTCACGTGGGCCGGCCCTTCGGCGCGCGCGCGCGCGCCCGAGGCGCCGCCGCGTCTGGCGCCGCCGCCGCCGCGGCGCGCCGCCGTTCGGCGCCGCGCCGCGCAGCCGCCGCAGCGCGCGCACCCGCGGCCGGGAGCTGGCAGGGGCCGCTCCTGGCCGCGGGCGCCCGCCGCAGCGGGGCCGCGCGCGGCCGCGGGGCTCTCGGCGCGCGGGCTGCGCCGCGGGGGGCCGGCGTCCGTCAGAGGGCCCCGCGAGGCTCCTCGGCTCGAAGAAGAAGAAGAAGAAGCGCCACAGGCAGCCACGCGCGGAGGGGGGTGGTGGGGGAGGGGGGGGGGGCTTCGCAGAAGCACCCCTGCTTCTCAGAAGGTGCGGGCCTTCTCCAGAGATGTCGAGCCTGCGCCTTCCAGGAAGCAGCCCCCTTGTAAGAAGCCTTCCCCCCTCTCCATGCCCCCCTCTGCGCGCGGCCATATACACAACCTTTCGGCGCTCCGCGCGGATTTCTGAAGTCCGCGCCTAAGCCCCCCCCCCCAGCGGCGCCTCCGGCGCTGCCCCTGGCGCGCTCCGCGCGCCAGGGAGGGGGGTCCAGCGCAGACCCCAGGAACCCGCGCGGAGCGCCAGAAGTTCATGTGTATGGTTTTTTGTTCTTCTTCTATCTCGGCGCGCGGGCGGCTCGAAGGGGGGCCACCGGTCGTCAGAGGGCCCCTCGGAGATCCTCGGTGGCAAGATGTGTTGTCCCCTTTCCCTTCCTCTTGCATGCGGAACAAATCGCAATACAATGGAAACACATACCAAGAAACACCCTGCTTGCCTCCAGGGTGCCCTGGGTTTCTTGGGCTTCGATGGTTTTGCGATGGAGAGCGTGACGCTCCCACACCGAATCCATGGATGTCCTGGGGTCTCAGGGCTAGGTCTCTTGTGGAAGGCTTCTTGTGGTCGACCTCCCTCTGTACCGCATCCCGGGCTGCCTGGACGCGCAGGCGGAGCGCCTCTTTGCCGCGCCGCGACGGAGCACAAACTGTTCTTGAACCCGCCGTGCGTTTGCAGGGCTGGGTGCCGGCACGGAGGGAGGCCTCTTGAGCGGGGTCGCTCCACAGACCTCCGATCGGTCGGACGCGCCCGCCCAGGAGCCGAGACCGGGACGTGGAGGCTGGAGATCGAGGATCGAGGTGGCCGGGGCTCATTCTGACCCCTCCGCTTCGCTTCGATCCGATTTCGATGGACTCCGACCCCGACTCGATGCTACGCAGGATTCCGATGTGGGGTCCAGTTTCTCACTTGAGGCCTTACTTGTCTGCCGATTCCTGCCGATTCGACTTCTCGACCTGGTTGCCGATGTCCGCCGATCCGACTCATGTCGATCGCCGATCTGATTTATCGAGTCGATTCTGGGCCCTCCTGGAAAAGGAAGGTCGGGGATCGAGATGGCTGGAAGTTTGATTTTGGCGACGGCGCCTCTGGTGATCCACTAAGCGAGATTTGGCTAGGGGCTGGCCGAGTAACTGCTCGCCAGCGAAAGCGTATTCCTGGGATTGTTTGGCCGTGGGTTCGTAAACAATTGCCCCACAGCACAGACGAATCGACATATATATATATATATATATATATACACATAGACATCGATGTACACATATGTATACATATGGTCGGGAACTTCTGCGTGGCGTGCTTCTCCGGGTCTGGCCCACCACGCCTCGGGGCGACTCGCTATCCTCTTCGCGGTCCCCAGGCGTCCAAGTGCCGAGCTCTTCCCAGCCTCCCGCCCCGCGGAGCGGAGCGATACGCCACCCGCTCGCACAGAAGCAGATCAAGCGTCGCTGGGCCGCCGTGGCGAAACGCGAAGGAGACGTCCCCGACTGCAAGATAGCCCTGTGGTGGCGACAGGCTGGCCGCTGCTCCCAGCTCCGCGTGCGCAGCGCGCCTCGCATCGCAGGCCAGGCGCAGCCGCCGGGAGGCAGAGCTGCAGCAGGGAGGAGGGAGAGGCAGGAGGAGGAGGAGCAGTAGCAGAGTCGAGGATGCGCAGGCGTGGATTGACGCGCATGGATTAGCGACGGATCCAGCTCCCACTGCGTGACCGGCTCGCTCCGTCGCCACACTCGGCGGCTCGGGCCTCATGCCTCCGATGTCGATCCACGGATTTGGCGCCAACCCGCGAGATCCACGGACCCCTGCGTGCGACCGTGCGCCCGACAGAGGAGCCCGGGATGACGATCGGCTGGCCGCCGCTTCCAGCTCTCGCGCGCGCAGCGCGCCTCCCCCTCCCCCCTCCTCCCCCGTCTCCTCTGATCTCCTCCTCTTCGTCCCCCTCCTGCTCCTGCTCCCCCTCCTGCTCCTCCGCCTCCTCCTCCTCCTCCTCCTCCTCCTCCTCCTGTTTCCCCTCCTGCTCTTGCTCCTTCTCCTGGTCCTGATGTTTCTTTTCCTTACAAAGAGTTTCTAAATGTCGCACCCGAGGCAAGTTTTTAGGGCGGGCTGGCGTTTCGCCTGAGACTTCCTCATCATTTTAAGACTCCAGAGCTGGAGAAATGACAACAGCTTCACAGATGGAGGGCGGGTGGTTTCCAAAATGTGGTTCTCGTTTTTTTTTCAGCGCGGCGTACATTCGTTCTGGACATGTGCAAGAGTTTCATGGATTAAGGGCGGGGTGTTTTCAACATTTGGCCCTCGCCTTAGCGCGGCGCGCATTCGTTGTTATTTGTGTTGCCAAAAAATCACGGATTGAGGGCAGGTCGTTTTCACAATGTGGCTCTCGCCTTAGCACGGTGCACATTCGTTTTGAAACATTGCAAGATTTTCGCGGATTGAGGGCGGGCCGTTTTCAAATTGTGGATCTCGCTTTAGCGCGGTGCGCACTCGTTCTTTTAATTGAATTTGCAAGAGCTTCATGGAATGAGGGTTGGCCGTTTTCAAATGTGGTTCTCGCCTCAGCGCGGCGCACATTCGTTTCCTTGTCTAATCGGCAAGCATTTCGCGGATTTACATCATCAACGTGTCAGAAATTGATGTTTGTTTTGGAAGGGTTCGGGATTATGAGGGTGCAACAGTTAAGTTGATTCGCCATATTGAAGTCCCAGGAATGGCGTTCTGGCACGACTCAGGATTGTGAAGACGCAACAGTCAGGTTGATCCGTGGCGTTGGAATCCCGAGAACAACGTTTTGGCATGCTGGAGGTCGCCAAACGGTTGTTTTCCAAAGAGTCTGTTCCTTCAACGGAAATAAACCGTTGTAGGGGCCTGCGTATGAAGAGCTCGGAGGGAGGCTTTATTCCAACATCGTTGATGGCTTTTGGGTTTACACTGACCCTATTCCTCGTGCTCCCCCTCCTACTCCCGCTCCCCATCGGGCTCCTTCCCCTCTTCCTCCTCCTCCTCCTCCTCCTCCTCCTCCTCCTCCTCCTCCTCCTCGTCTGTTTCCTCCTCCTCCCCCCCTCCTTCTTCTCCTCCCCCTCCTCCTCCTCCTCCTCCTCCTCCTCCTCCTCCTCCTCCTCCTCCTCTTCCTGCTCCCCCTCGTGCTTCTGCTCCTCCTCCTCCTCCTTCTCCTCCTCCTCCTCCTCCTCCTCCTCCTCCTCCTCCTCCAGATCTCCTCCTCGCTCCTGCTGCCTGCGGCAGCGGGGGCGCCGAGTTTGTCGCCGCCCCTCGCCGGCCGCCCTGGATAGCCACGCCTGCGCGGGCGATAGGCTCGTTCGACTTCGGGGCGCCAGGCACGGCCGGGAGGTGTCTCTCTGTCCAGGCTGCCCAAACGGGACCAGAGATTCCCAGGTTGACCGTGCTCGACTCGGGGAAACCTGCGACTCGAGTGAGCCGGAACTTGGGTTTGCCCACGCGTTTGAACGAGCGCGTCCAGGACGTTGACGGTCCCGTGTTCGTGGGATGCGTGCAGCGGGAGTTCGCGCCAAGTTTCAGATTGGGTCTCGTCATTTTCAGGAGGGCCCCGTCAGGCCAATTCGAGTTGCCCGCGTCCGAGTCCCCCGCACGGTGGTCTGGGCGTCCTGGATGGGGAGGGAGTCGATGGGGTCGGAGGATCGCGCCGCCTCGTCGATGCATCGGCGATGCGGCTCGATGTGCAGCCCGACTTGCTTCGCGTCGACGACGCGGTTGCATCGCCGATGCCGACGATGCATTGCCAGTGCATCGGCGATGCGGCGCGATCCTCCGACCCCATCTACTCGGACCCCATCTATGAGGCCTCTAGCCACAGTGGAGTGCAGATGAAGCGATCGATTGCCTGAGAAATCTTGGGCGCAAGTGCAGCCCTCGATGCTGATCAGGATCGCGTGGTGAATCACGCTTATGGATCTCAGGCAGGGCCAGGGTGGGGAAATTTGTAAGGCTTCGGGTTTGCGCGCGGACGCCCCCCCCCCAGCTAGGCCGGGGCGGTAAGGCGCCCAAGGCGAGCCGACGGGTGCTCTGTCTGGATCGGCGTGGAGGTTATTATGAGGCAGAGGGTGTATCCGTGGATGCCAAAGTGGGTTATCGAAGCCAGGGGGCCGAACTGTCTTACACCATCCCTGGGTGCGTGGGTGTAGCGTCAGGCAATCGCAAGCATTGATCAAGGGGGCGTGGATTAGCAACGGGTCCCGTTTCCATGGGGAACCGCGGACGCCCAACGCCGAACGAGGCGGCACCGGCCGCATTTGGGGGAGGGTACCTCCCCCGATCCATGGTTTTTGCGACCCCGCGCCAAATCCATGGATCGCTCATCCATGTTTGCGCGTCCCCGATAGTGGGAGTCCGTTGCCTGGATTCCGATTGTTTTCTTGTTTTTTTTGAGTTCGTCTTCCTCAAGAATTATGTATAGTCGATCCCCCTGCTCGGTGCCCATTGTGGTTTTCAAGTTTTTTTTACCGGGGGAAGTCTTGAGCGTCAGAATGCGTTGGTAGCCCCCGCGCTACAACAACAGTCATTGAAAGACTGTTCGCTCAGATTCGCTCGCGTGCCATTCAACACGTATATCCCGAACCCTCTGTACCCGGTCGTACCCCTTTGGGGGCATATCTACCGTGCCTGGCACGCGCATGTAGTGCAGCTCCTAAAGCAGGGGAAGAGAGGCCGGATGGAAGGCGGAGGGAGAAGTATGGAGCAAACAACAAATTTGCAGGAGGGTGGCTAGGAGCAGGAAAAATGTGGTAGAGCCCGACGGGCAGATCAGGCGGGCAGATTCTTGCAGGCAGGTCGGGAAGGCGGGCCCAGGCGAGAGCAGGCGGGTTGCTGAAGCGTGAGTCATGATCAATCGCGCTGAGGTCTCGATCGATAGCTCGATTCCCAAATAAATCGTGAGACACGCAAGAGCGAGAGCATGATTCCTGAGCGTCGAGGGCGTGTTGTAGGAAAACATAGCGAGGAAGTCCTACGCGAGAGCGCGATTCCTGGAGAACTTGTTCGGAAGTGCCGCGCGAGCATTCGATATGTGGAATACATTGTGAGGAGGAATCAGGCGGGAGCCGTTGTTGTTGCAGCCGGGGGGCCAACAACAGAGTTTGAGCAAGAAGGGTTCCCCTGATAAAACCAGGTTGGGGGGATCAACGATGGTTTTTTTTCCAAGGATGAGAGTTCAACGGCTTTCGCCTGAGACTTCCTGACATATTATTCACCATCGCGCTCTCGCGTGGAATTGCCTCACAACGTATCCAGGAATCGTGCTCTCGCCTCGTACATCTGCGCAGTGTATTCAGACGCCGCGCCTTCCACACTCAGGAATCACGCTCGCGCTTTGGGTTTCTTACGGCCTACTCGGAGCTCTTGCTGTCGCCCGAGGCCTCCTCGCAGTTCATGTTGGATTGACGCTTCAGCGGCCCGCTCGCTCGACCCGGCCGCTGGAGCCCGCCCGCCCGACATGCCCGTTAGGGCTTGCCCGCCCGACCCGTCCGTCTTCTCATGCCGCATGTGCTCCTGCTCCGCACCTCCTGCAAATCCCTCTCGTGCTCCATCCGTCTCCCTCCCCTTTTGTTTTCACTCCTACCTGGTCCGTCCCTTCCCCTGTTTCAGGGTCTGCGCTAAGCACACGTGGTAGGTAAGGAACACACATATATATACACACACCCAAAGGGGATACGGTCGAAGACGGAGAGGACGGGTATCTAGGGTCTGGGATCAACATGATGAGCGACACGCGAGCATATGAAAGCGAACGTGTTGGGCAACACGCGAATATTTTGAGCGACGCGCGAGTATGCAACTGTCACTTCTGAAGAATAAGTGTTGCTGATGCGCCCTCCCCTGTGCTCATTGTGTTGTTCATCTACAGTGCTCCCCCCGGGGCTCGCACTTTGTTTTTAACAAGTGAAAGTCTTGGGGTTCATATTGGGCCCCTGGCTCCCTGTTTACAACGACGACGAACACAGCAACAACACCATCAACGACAACGACAACGACAACGGCTTCCGCCTGATACATCCTCACAATGTATATCAGAATCGCGCTCTCGCGTTGCACTTCCTTGCGATGTATTGATTCACTGCGCCCCCAACACTCAGGAATCACGCTCTCGCTCTGCATCTCTCCGCGATTTACTTTGGAATCTTGCTATCGCTCGAGAGTCCCTCGCGATTCGTTAAGGACCGTCGCTTCAGCGAGCCGCCCGCTGGGCCCGCGCGCCCGATCCGCCCGTTAGGGTTCGCAGGCCCTATCAGCCCGTCTTATTGCTTGTCTTTCTGCTATTAGCGACCCTCCTGCTCATGGGTGTCGTGCCCCGTCATTCGCCCCCTTGTTCCTTCCCCCCCGTCCCCTTGTTCAGGAGCCGGGCCAACTACACGTGGCAGGAAAGAAGTGTGTATATTTCGGGGGTACTAAAGTTTTTGACCATAAGATGAGAATTGCCTCGCTGGTCACGCGTGCCGCGGAGGACCGATCAGGATGCAAAGGTGCCTTGATGCGGATTCGCGAGCCTTTGTGGGCCCTCTGGGACGGCCAGCCAGTGAACCGAGAGCGACCGCATTGGAGAAGGATGCCCAGGGTCTCTCAGCATCAATGCAACAAGGAATACAATGAAACATCGCGTTGGCATGATAAGGACAGGGTCGATGGGGATGATGACACGGACGATCAAACGTGACCCAAGCGGAGTGGTGTACTGTGAATGGGTTCAAGTCGGAGTGTTTTCCGGCCCTATGTTAAATGGGACGGACTAATTATCACCTTGTTATATATATATATATATACATATATATATATGTATATTCTTACAGGGTGAGAGTCCATCGGAGTCGAACCGCCGCCCGACCCAAAACACGTCGCTAAGATTCTACGGGGGGGCAGGGGGCGTCGAGAGCATGACGTCTTATGGTCAAAACTATAGTGCCCCCCGTGCGGACTTTTCTCACCTGCGCGGCCAACGGCCAGGGCAGATGGAGTGCTCACCCGCGCGGCAAACGGCCGACGCTGATGAGTTGTCCACCTGTGAACGCGCCAATACGGCCCGGGGGCTTGGCCCGCTCAGAAGCCCGTGGCCGCGCCCTTCTTGCGCACCACTTCCCTGCAGACGCGCTTCATCAGCTTCGCCTGCGCCGCCCCCACGGACTGCGCCTTCTTGCTCTTCACGACGCTCCGAACCCGCGCCCTGTACGCCGTCTTCCCCAGCACGGGCCGCTTCTTCACGGCGTCGTCCAAGTCCATGAGCCGCAGCTTCCGACGCAGCCAAGACCAGCACCGCTCTGCGGGGTTCAAGTCAGGGGACTTTGCTGGCATCTTCCACAGCTTAACCCCCGCCGCCTTGACCGCGGCGTTGCTGACCTTCGCCCGCAAGAAAGACTCGTTGTCGCAGAGGACGGACCACGGGCCCTTCTTCCTCTTCGGGTTCACCGACTTCACGGCCTTCACGAGGTCGCCCCGGTTCACGATCTTCGCCCAGTCCTCGCCGCAGAGCTTCTTCGTGGGGTGGAACGCGACAATGGACAGCCCGCCCGCGGCGCAGCCGGCCCACATGGGCACTGCCCGAGCCAGTGGGACCTGGCCACCGTACTCGTCGTCGCCAGAGAGCTTCGGGGTGAATGCCTCCGTGTTCTTTCGCCACATGTACTCTTCCCCGCGCCTGCAGAAGTTCATCCGCTCGGTCTCGTCCTTCGGGGGTATCCCAAGGATGACGCCGTCCATGGCGTATGCCAAAGCCGTGTTCAGCTCCGCCGAAGTCATCCTCAGGACCTTCTTCGCAAACGTCAGGCGGGCTTTCCTCTGATCCTTGGAGTATAACCGCTTCTGCCTCTTGGGTAACCAGCGAAAGCCTTTCTTCGAGAGGACCTTGCGCACGTAGCGCACCGTAACCTTGACTTTCATTTCGGAAGCCAAAAGCACTTGCAACGTAGTCGACGTGCATGCGGTGCGGCATCGCAACTTTCATTGCGGAAGCAAAAGAGCAATTACAACGTAGTCGACGTGCAGCCGGTGCGGCATCGCACTCCTTCAGCTTCTTCACCAAGAAACACGCTCCATCCTTGTACCTTGTCCGGCTTTACTTGCCGCCATACCTCCTCGTGATATTTGAGGGGCCCGCGCGCCGTGGCCCGGCGGTGCGCGTTCGCCAGTGTCGTGGTCGTTGGCCTCTGCCCAGAGGTAATTTCACCTTCTTCGCGACTCCGACCACTCCATGTGGCTTGCCGTCGCTTGGGTGGCCTCGCGGAGAAGTACGATCCTTGCGCTCCTGCTGGAAGTGAAGCACTTGGGAGGCCGCACTCGCTGACGTGACTACATTGGGGCGCGTTCCCGCGCGCAGTGTCACGCGCGGCAGGAAGGCTTGAGCTGGGAAGCTTGCGGCAATAGCCAATGGAGATGAAGAGGGCCGCGAGGCGCGACGCGTCGCCGCGCGGCCCCGCGCGGGGCCGCGGCGCGGCACGGCGCGGCACGCCACGGCGCGGCGCGGCACGGCGCGGCGCGGCACGGCGCGGCAAGGCCAAGCATTGCACGGCGCAGCACGGCACGGCGCGGCGCGGCGCGGCACGGGATGGCATAGCACGGCACGGCGCCGCACGGCACTGCGCGGCACGGCACGACGCGGCACGGCGCGGCGTCAGCAGCGGCCGCCCCTGCAGGCGCCCCAGGCTGCTCTGCGCGTTTCGGGCGGCCCCTCGGTTTCTTGGCCTGGTCCCAACGCTCCTTCGCGGCGTTCAGCTGCTTCGCGTGCTCGTCTGCCCCGCCCTTGTCCGGGCGCGCCTTGCGGAGCACCTTTCGAAAGGCTGCGATCACCTCGCTGTCCTGGGAGTCCCTGTGGAGGCGAACCACAACCGAGTACGCCGCAGCAACCGTGAGGAGCAACTTCACCAAAGCCCTCCGGGCTTGCACTGCGCCAGTCAACCCCATGACCAACAGCAGAGCAAATCCTTGCTAAGGTCTTGAGCCAAAGCGGCTGCAAAGATGATGGAGATGACGATGATGATTGGCGGCGGCGAGAACCCATGTTGCCCTTCGGGGGTACTAAAGTTTTTGACCATAAGATGAGAATTGCCTCGCTGGTCACGCGTGCCGCGGCGGACCGATCAGGATGCAAAGGTGCCTTGATGCGGATTCGCGAGCCTTTGTGGGCCCTCTGGGACGGCCAACCAGTGAACCGAGAGCGACCGCATTGGAGAAGGATGCCCAGGGTCTCACAGCACCAATGCAACAAGGAATACAATGAAACATCGCGTTGGCATGATAAGGACAGGGTCGATGGGGATGATGACGCGGACGATCAAACGTGACCCAAGCGGAGTGGTTTACTGTGAATGGGTTCAAGTCGGAGTGTTTTCGGGCCCTATTGTAAATGAGACGGAGTAATTATCACCCTGTTATATATATATATATATATATATATATATTCTTACAGGGTGAGAGCCCATCGGAGTCGAACCGCCGCCCGACCCAAAACATGTCGCTAAGATTCTACGGGGGGGCAGGGGTCGTCGAGAGCATGACGTCTTATGGTCAAAACTATAGTACCCCCCGTGCGGATTTTTCTCACCTGCACGGCCAACGGCCAGGGCAGATGGAGTGCTCACCCGCGCGGCAAACGGCCGACGCTGATGAGTTGTCCACCTGTGAACGCGCCAATACGGCCCGGGGGCTTGGCCCGCTCAGAAGCCCGTGGCCGCGCCCTTCTTGCGCACCACTTCCCTGCAGACGCGCTTCATCAGCTTCGCCTGCGCCGCCCCCACGGACTGCGCCTTCTTGCTCTTCACGACGCTCCGAGCCCGCGCCCTGTACGCCGTCTTCCCCAGCACGGGCCGCTTCTTCGCGGCGTCGTCCAAGTCCATGAGCCGCAGCTTCCGACGCAGCCAAGACCAGCACCGCTCTGCGGGGTTCAAGTCAGGGGACTTTGCTGGCATCTTCCACAGCTTAACCCCCGCCGCCTTCACCGCGGCGTTGCTGACCTTCGCCCGCAAGAAAGACTCGTTGTCGCAGAGGACGGACCACGGGCCCTTCCTCTTCGGGTTCACCGACTTCACGGCCTTCACGAGGTCGCCCCGGTTCACGATCTTCGCCCAGTCCTCGCCGCAGAGCTTCTTCGTGGGGTGGAACGCGACAATGGACAGCCCGCCCGCGGTGCAGCCGGCCCACATGGGCACTGCCCGAGCCATTGGGACTTGGCCACCGTACTCGTCGTCGCCAGAGAGCTTCGGGGTGAATGCCTCCGTGTTCTTTCGCCACATGTACTCTTCCCCGTGCCTGCAGAAGTTCATCCGCTCGGTCTCGTCCTTCGGGGGCATCGCAAGGATGACGCCGTCCATGGCGTATGCCAAAGCCGTGTTCAGCTCCGCCGAAGTCATCCTCAGGACCTTCTTCGCAAACGTCAGGCGGGCTTTCCTCTGATCCTTGGAGTATAACCGCTTCTGCCTCTTGGGTAACCAGCGAAAGCCTTTCTTCGAGAGGACCTTGCGCACGTAGCGCACCGTAACCTTGACTTTCATTTCGGAAGCCAAAAGCAATTGCAACGTAGTCGACGTGCATGCGGTGCGGCATCGCAACTCCTTCAGCTTCTTCACCAAGAAACGCTCCACCTCCTTTGTCACATTGTCCGGCTTCTTGCCGCACTTTTTGTAATCGTACTTGAGGGGCCCGCGGCGCGGCCCCACCCCCCCCCCCCCCCCCCCCCCCCCACCCCCCCCCCCCCCTTCCCTCCCCCCCCCCCCCCCCCCCCCCCCCCCCCTCCCCCTCCCTCCCCCTCCCCCCCCACCCACCTCCCTCCCTGCCTGGCGCGCATGTGTCGCCACGTGTCGTGGTCGTGGCCTCTTGCCCAAGAGGTTCTTCACCTTCTTCGCGATCTCCGACCACTCCATGTGGCTGCCGTCGCTCTGGGTGGCCTCGCGGAGAAGTACGATCCTGCGCTCCTGCTGGAAGCTGAAGCTCTTGGGATGCCGCATCTCGCTGACGACTGGCATATGGGGCGCGTCTCCCGCGCGCGCAGTGGCCCGCGCGGCAGGAAGGATTGAGCCTGGGAAGCTGCGGCAATGGCAATGGAGATGAAGAGGGCCGCGAGGCGGCGACGCGTCGCCGCGCGGCCCCGCGCGGGGCCGCGGCGCGGCACGGCGCGGCACGCCACGGCGCGGCGCGGCACGGCGCGGCGCGGCACGGCGCGGCAAGGCCAAGCACTGCACGGCGCCGCACGGCACGGCGCGGCGCGGCGCGGCATGGGATGGCATAGCACGGCACGGCGCCGCACGGCACTGCGCGGCACTGCAACGACGCCTCCCCGCCACGGCGCGGCCAGCATGCGGCCGCCCCCCTTTTTGAAACCTTTGACAGGCGCCCCAGGCTGCTCTGCGCGTTTCGTTCGGGCGGCCCCTCCGGTTTTTGGCCTGGTCCCCTCGCTCTTCGCGGCGTTCAGCTGCTTTCGCGTGATCTCTGCACCCCCCATGTCCGGTGCGCGCCTGCTGCACCACCTTCGAACACCGACCCGCGGCCAGACTTCACCTCGCTGTCTGGGGTCCCCTGTGGAGGCGAACCACAACCGAGTACGCCGCAGCAACCGTGAGGAGCAACTTCACCAAAGCCCTCCGGGCTTGCACTGCGCCAGTCAACCCATGACCAACAGCAGAGCAAATCCTTGCTAAGGTCTTGAGCCAAAGCGGCTGCAAAGATGATGGAGATGACGATGATGATTGGCGGCGGCGAGAACCCATTTTGCCCTTCGGGGGTACTAAAGTTTTTGACCATAAGATGAGAATTGCCTCGCTGGTCACGCGTGCCGGAAGGACAGATCAGATGCATAAAGGTGGCCTATGATGCGGATTTCGCGAGCCTTGTGGGCCCCTTCTGGGCCGGCCCAACCAGGAACCGAGAAACGACCGAATGGAGAAGGATGCCCAGGGTCTCACAGCATCAATGCAACAGGGATTAAATGAAACATTCGCGTTGGCATTGATAAGGACAGGGTCGATGGGGAGATGGACACGGACGATCAAACGTGACCCAAGCGAGTGGTGTATGTGAATGGGTCAAGTCGGAGGGTTTTCCGGCCCATTTTTTAAATGTTGACGAGTAAGTATCACCCTGCCTAATATATATAGATCTATATATATATTATATATATATATAAATATATATATATATATACTTACAGGGTGAGAGCCCATCGGAGTCGAACCGCCGCCCGACCCAAAACATGTCGCTAAGATTCTATGGGGGGGCAGGGGGCGTCGAGAGCATGACGTCTTATGGTCAAAACTATAGTACCCCCCGTGCGGATTTTTCTCACCTGCACGGCCAACGGCCAGGGCAGATGGAGTGCTCACCCGCGCGGCAAACGGCCGACGCTGATGAGTGGTCCACCTGTGAACGCACCAATACGGCCCGGGGGCTTGGCCCGCTCAGAAGCCCGTGGCCGCGCCCTTCTTGCGCACCACTTCCCTGCAGACGCGCTTCATCAGCTTCGTCTGCGCCGCCCCCACGGACTGTGCCTTCTGGCTCTTCACGACGCTCCGAACCCGCGCCCTGTACGCCGTCTTCCCCAGCACGGACCGCTTCTTCACGGCGTCGTCCAAGTCCATGAGCCGCAGCTTCCGACGCAGCCAAGACCAGCACCGCTCTGCGGGGTTCAAGTCAGGGGACTTTGCTGGCATCTTCCACAGCTTAACCCCCGCCGCCTTCACCGCGGCATTGCTGACCTTCGCCCGCAAGAAAGACTCGCTGTCGCAGAGGACGGACCACGGGCCCTTCTTCCTCTTCGGGTTCACCGACTTCACGGCCTTCACGAGGTCGCCCCGGTTCACGATCTTCGCCCAGTCCTCGCCGCAGAGCTTCTTCGTGGGGTGGAACGCGACAATGGACAGCCCGCCCGCGGCGCAGCCGGCCCACATGGGCACTGCCCGAGCCAGTGGGACCTGGCCACCGTACTCGTCGTCGCCAGAGAGCTTCGGGGTGAATGCCTCCGTGTTCTTTCGCCACATGTACTCTTCCCCGTGCCTGCAGAAGTTCATCCGCTCGGTATCGTCCTTCGGGGGCATCGCAAGGATGACGCCGTCCATGGCGTATGCCAAAGCCGTGTTCAGCTCCGCCGAAGTCATCCTCAGGACCTTCTTCGCAAACGTCAGGCGGGCTTTCCTCTGATCCTTGGAGTATAACCGCTTCTGCCTCTTGGGTAACCAGCGAAAGCCTTTCTTCGAGAGGACCTTGCGCACGTAGCGCACCGTAACCTTGACTTTCATTTCGGAAGCCAAAAGCAATTGCAACGTAGTCGACGTGCATGCGGTGCGGCATCGCAACTCCTTCAGCTTCTTCACCAAGAAACGCTCCACCTCCTTTGTCACCTTGTCCGGCTTCTTGCCGCACTTTTTGTAATCGTACTTGAGGGGCCCGCGGCGCGCCGGGGCCCGGCGGTACGTGTTCGCCACGTGTCGTGGTCGTGGCCTCTTGCCCAAGAGGTTCTTCACCTTCTTCGCGATCTCCGACCACTCCATGTGGCTGCCGTCGCTCTGGGTGGCCTCGCGGAGAAGTACGATCCTGCGCTCCTGCTGGAAGCTGAAGCCCTTGGGATGCCGCATCTCGCTGACGACTGGCATCTGGGGCGCGTCTCCCGCGCGCGCAGTGGCCCGCGCGGCAGGAAGGCTTGAGCCTGGGAAGCTGCGGCAATGGCAATGGAGATGCAGAGGGCCGCGAGGCGGCGACGCGTCGCCGCGCGGCCCCGCGCGGGGCCGCGGCGCGGCGCGGCGCGGCGCGGCACGGCGCGGCAAGGCCAAGCACTGCACGGCGCCGCACGGCACGGCGCGGCGCGGCGCGGCACGGGATGGCATAGCACGGCATGGCGCCGCACGGCACTGCGCGGCACGGCACGACGCGGCACGGCGCGGCGTCAGCAGCGGCCGCCCTTGCAGGCGCCCCGGGCTGCTCTGCGCGTTTCGGGCGGCCCCTCGGTTTCTTGGCCTGGTCCCAACGCTCCTTCGCGGCGTTCAGCTGCTTCGCGTGCTCGTCTGCCCCGCCCTTGTCCGGGCGCGCCTTGCGGAGCACCTTTCGAAAGGCTGCGATCACCTCGCTGTCCTGGGAGTCCCTGTGGAGGCGAACCACAACCGAGTACGCCGCAGCAGCCGTGAGGAGCAACTTCACCAAAGCCCTCCGGGCTTGCACTGCGCCAGTCAACCCCATGACCAACATCAGAGCAAATCCTTGCTAAGGTCTTGAGCCAAAGCGGCTGCAAAGATGATGGAGATGGCGATGATGATTGGCGGCGGCGAGAACCCATGTTGCCCTTCGGGGTATTAAAGTTTTTGACCATAAAAATGAGAATTGCCTCGCTGGTCACGCGTGCCGCGGAGGGCCGATCAGGATGCAAAGGTGCCTTGATGCGGATTCGCGGGCCTTTGTGGGCCCTCTGGGACGGCCAACCAGTGAACCGAGAGCGACCGCATTGGAGAAGGATGTCCAAGGTCTCACAGCATCAATGCAACAAGGACTACAATGAAACATCGCGCTGGCATGATAAGGACAGGGTCGACGGGGATGATGACACGGACGATCAAACGTGACCCAAGCGGAGTGGTGTACTGTGAACGGGTTCAAGTCGGAGTGTTTTCCGGCCTTATATTAAATGGGACGGAGTAATTATCACCCTGTT